TTATTATATTGATATTTTTAATTGATTGATTTTTAAACTCTTTGAATTGACCTTGAAATAGAATTGAAAAAGTAATGATGATAGATTGATTTTTTCTGATAATCATAAATTGAGAATAATGATTGAGGTAGAATATCATGAATTCATTTCATTTTCGTGGTTTCTCATTATTATTATTAATATTATTATTATTATCATCGTCCACGATCCCGCCGCCTCGCGAGATTCCAACCCAGAACCTCTAGATCATTGAGCCGGCTAGCATCCAACGGTGTTAATGTCTAACTTCAACTAATCCATATCCATCATTGTCATCAGTGAGTTACTATCTCACAACAGACCCGGTTGAACTCCACTCGTCACTGTTTCTCACTACAACTCCAGGAAGCCAGTCACTATTGAGCATATGTTGATTAATATCAGAAGGAGTTTTTATGGATATTACAGTAATTTCAATAGTTGAGATCATGATATTCTAGATTTTAACATCTAGTAACTCATTTTATTTATGCTTCACCGTAAATATGTGTGTATCATTAGAATTTACATATTTTCATCATTAACATTTAAACTCGACGTAATATCTGTTTGTTATTGAGATCGCGAACTGAATTAAGTTAGACAACCACATTCTCTAATGATTAAAATCAGAGAGAGGTTTTGTAGAGATTGCAGTAATTTAATGATTGAATTCATGAGTCATGGTATACTTGGAAGCACTAGACGGTGGCTCAATTTCGTGGATTGATTGAAGTTAGACATTAACACTATTGGATGCTGGCAAGTTCAGTTGTCTAGAGGTTAAGCGTTCGTGCACGAGACCGATAGGTCTTAGGTTCGAATCTCGCGATGCGGCGTGATCGTGGATGTGCACTACTGTGGAGTCTGACAATAGGACGAAACAGCCATCCAAAGTTTCCAGGTTTCCCATAATGGCCTAGCTTTAATTGACTTATAAATTTGAAAATTCATGAGAAAAGTTGCGTATGAGATTGGAAGTTTGTTTTCTTTTTTTTCTTGGTTTAATGAGTAAAATTAACAAATGGACAATTTTGAAAGTAACTTTCAGGTAAGCAGAGAGTACATACACAATATGCAAATCATATTCATCAATTAACATGATTTGAATCAAAAATAATAATTTACTATGATATTTAGATGGTGGTAGTTAACAGGAAACCCTGGACCCGGTTTTCGTGCTACTTAGCACTCGTCAGCAAGGTGTACTTGTAATCTTGAGGGAACTGGTGCTCCCTGGAGGATTCGATCTGCACTAATAAGGACCAGACACGTATGACATTGATCACCACCCAGTGATCAATCAATTGTGGATTTACTATGGTACTCGTAGGTTGATAACTGTTTATTTCTAATTATAGAAATTTGGTTTGACTTATTGTGAGCGTTTGATTCAGTGAAACTTAAAGTTTATATTGTTTGTTTATTTATAACATGAAGTTTGGTATTATGTCTGCTATTCATTAATTATCAAACTGTTGGCCTATTCATAACTGTAGTACCCTTTTAATATAAGATTCTTTAGAACATGTACTTTCATCTTTATTCTTCTAATATTTGTACACATATTGTGTAATTGAATAATTTGGTTGAAGGTAATGAGGAAATTACACTTGTCGATTTTTGTGTTTTAGGGAACAGCTCATTTCATACAATGAGGTGAGCTTTCTCACTTGATAACCAATCTTCAAGCTAACACTCATTTTATAATTATTATTATTACTTGTCAGATGCATCAAATGATGATCAGAAACCTAATACAATTTTTATAGATGCTGCTTAACCTAATGATCCATCATCTACTAATGAGGTTTTCAATAAATTTGATGTAAATATTTCAAAAGAATCAAACTCTGATGACTTCATATCAAGTGTTGTTGTTCCTCACCATTCAGTCAGTTCTAGCAGATTCTCTATTCAATACAGGAAATATAAATAGAGTCACGTTAAATGTAACTTGGGAATATGATGATCCAACAGTATTTCGTGGGGAGGATGAACTTGGAAAATTTAAAATCCGGGTATCAACTCTGGATCTTCAAAAAAGAGGTTATATCCCGATGAGAAGAATGAATGGTAACTTTTGAAATCTCTTTATGGACTAATAATATACATATATTTTTATCGTATAATTGATAAGTAACTAAACTATTCATATTTGTGTTCCTCCTATCATGAGCTTCATTTTGTTCTATGAACTATTATTATACGATTTACCATTCTTAATTGATGACCTATCTATCAATTATTACCTCTCACATTCACAGCCACTTTTGACTAAATATTGTTTGCTATTTAATGATACGAACTCCGCCTGTAGCTCTTCTAGAGTTACTGCCGGTCCCAAGCCCGGGTAAAGGAGGAGGGTTGGGCATGGGGTTAGCGTCCCCATCCCGTAGAAAACTAACTCGCTAAAAAAACGCTTACCAGAAAAAATAATTCAAACCATTATTTTATGATACGATATGGTCTGGTTGGTTTGTATATAAACCTAATATGTTTGAAATACATGATTCATATCGCAGAGGCCGAGATTGGTGTTTTGGACTTAACAGGAAGTAGGACGGAAAGGACTCTAGGCTGCTTGTACGTGTTTTATGCGTCATTGGTTCGATCGACAATTCACTGTTCTGTCTGTGGCGGTATCGTTACGTTATACATTAATAGGACACAGGACACAAGTTATAACATTACCATTATCGCTTTTTAAGCTTAGGTGTAAGAAACATGACTTTCCAACTAATTTATACTAAGTGGGTTCATTTGTTTTAGCATACTTATCGATGAATTTCGATCGGTATCCATTTTCGCGTAGATATTCTTACAGTCTTTCGTTCTAAAAAGATTTTATGAGTACGGTCAAAAATGGTCAACACAATCCCTCTTTTACAACTGATTGGACAGAAGCTGCTATAGTTTATATAAACTCTGCACTGTGTACTTTCACAATGGATATATTTTTGCAGTTTCCCTCCTATATTTTGTTGAATTTCACATCTAAGAAATGGGATTTTTCTTCGGCATCGTGCTCAATACTAAATTTTATTTCATTATGTAATTCTTTGAATAGAGCAAGTAGTCATGTAGGATGCTTCAAACTATTACAACACTATATGTAAGGCAGAATAATGTTCCATTGATTGATTGTTTAAACTCATCTGTTACAAGTTCCACATACGTATATCAGGTAGGATTGAACTTAGGTTATTATAGCAGCTTCACGAATTTCGGGTACATCATATTATTATACTGGAATTGTACACCTTCAGAGGACAGGAGCTATTCGGATTATTTACTCGGTAAAGGGAGAATTTTAAGAGTTCAGTATATGATTTTTATGGATTCTTGCAAACGGAGCTTTGTAAACAAAAAAACGTAAGACGTCAAGTAACACAATAAATCTATCAGAAACATTTAAGCTTCTCCATTTTTGTGTTATTTCAAATCTATACTTCAGACTGTGAGATCTTAGTGTGGTGTTTGTATGACCTAATTATTTCTTGGTACTTGATGACTGCCTGATTTCGAATTGCAAATACAATACGTTCGGGTTTTCTCACCTTGTTCTGTCTACTTAAATTGCGCTATTTCGAGTATTCCTAGTTTGTATAATAATTCAAATACTTCTAATCATCACATTGGCATCGCTAGGGGGCCTGTGATGGGAGAGTTGGACATTCAAATTTTGGTACTTTTTAGGATTATATTCATTGGAAAAGCACACAGCTTATTAAAAACTTTGGCATTTCCAGAAAATCTTATTTCACTTCCTTATGCAACTCTGAAGGAGCTACTGCTAGATCATGTAAAGTACAAAAATTTCGAAAAATGACTCGTCAGGACATCGAAAATTCCACTGCATTGCTACGTCATACCAATCCAATGCGTACTCAAGGATATGCAGGTAGTTCATCGAGTTGTGAAGCAGGTCACAAAGAAGAGCACAAGCTTGGTGAATGTTTGTTCTGTGACTAGTTTCACCCATGTAATTCATGTGTATTTCCTAATGTTAAATGTTTTAAATGTGGTATGATTGGACACATTCAATCAACTTGTAATACTGTTTATTTCATTGCAACTTATGCCAAACTTTGTAATTCCGGTCCTCTTACGCTGAGTGATCTCAATGATCATTTATCTTCATCGACGATTTCGGTCCTGGATCTGAGCCCCGCGAAGCGGGCTTGTGCGAGCAAACTGCTGAGGAGTTCCATACTAGGAAGAGACGGTCGTCCAGTGTTTCCAGGTTTTTCATGGTGGTCGAGCTTAAATTGACTCATCATGTCAACTATTAAAATTATTATAATATCCACAAAATCCCATTCTGAAATTGTTTATACTTATTTGAAATTATGAAAGTAAAAATCAGTCACCATAATGACTGTTTATCTATTTAGGGCAAGAAAAAATACGACAACAGAAGAAACATTTTGCTGATATAATTAAGGCGTATATCATCGAAGGTTCTGAGATTGTTTGCAAATGTGATGTAGAGCTTTAAAAGATATTGATCGTAATCTTCATCAGAAACTAAGATAAATTAAATAGCCTATTGGCTATCAGCACCATCCTTTCATATTCTTGTTTATTTATTTATTACAAGTGTTTATTAACAGGTATCTACACAAATACTTCAGATCCATTGGCCAGAAACTATCAGCAACAACCTACTGTGGGAAAGAACAAACCAGATCCCAACGGAGGAAGAAGCGTGGAAATGGATTGCTCACATATTGAGGAAAGCATCCAACTACGTCACAAGGCAATCCCTCACCTGGAATCCTCAAGGCCAAAGGAGGAGAGGAAGACTTAAAAAACACATAACACCGAGAAATGGAGACAGATATGAGAAGAATGAACAACAATTGGATAGAAGTAGAAAAGAATGCTCAAGACAGAGTGGGTTGAAGAATGTTGGTCGGTTGGCGGATACTTCATTGAGAGTAATAGGAGTAAATAATTAAGTATTACAAAAGTATTCATTGTAGTAAAACCATATTTATTTATTATTTTATTAACAAAAAAATATATAAAAAAGCACAAGTATAAGATGTAGTAACCATGTAGTAACCAGAATATAATATTCTCATAGATTTATACAAGGAATATATACCTTGAGAGTAAACAATGGGGGGGGGGAAGATATTGATCCATTAAGAAATACAAAAAATAATTCATGATTGTCAAGATAAAAGAAAAGTATCATAATTATGAATTAAATATAGATTGATATGAGAAGAAGAAGAACAAATAAGAAAGTTAATTAATCATAGAATTTGTAGATGAATTATTATTATTATAAGAAGAAGAAGAAGAAGAAGAAGAAGAAGAAGTAGCCGTAGTAGTAGCCGTAGTAGTAGTAGTAATAAAGAAATGAATTAATGAATGACTTAAATAATTTGTCATATTACATAATTTCTCTTTTGATGATGAATAAACAAAATGTATTAAAATTAAATTACGTAAATGTAAATATAAATTAAGAAAACAAAATAATGCATCTATAATTAAACCAATTAATTTATACCATTCATATATCCAATATGAACAAATACATTGATACATAATACTAAATAATAAAAGACACATTAATATACTACTTATATACTTCGGATTATTGAATAGAAACTAGAAAAAACAAAACAAAACAAAACAAAAACAAAACAAGGGGTACATATAAAGGTAAGCAGTGATTACTAGTTAAAATAGGACATGATCATTTTGAACAAATCTATTTGATAATTCCTTTTAAATTAAGATCATAAACCGATTGATATTAGATCATCAATGCAAATCTGAAAACATGGGACTCCTCCTTGATAGTGTACATCCACGATCCCGCCGCTTCACATGATTTGAACCCACGACCTATAGGTTTTGTGCGCGAATACTACTGAGCTGAAAGTGTTTCCAGGTTTTCAATAATGGTCTAACATTAATCAGTTCATGATCTTAATCAAAAACTTAATAATCACCACAACCCCTATACTGACAATTCTTTTAAATTACTGAATGACAATATAAAACACCATTTAAAATTTAGAAATATTATACAACTATACTATTCTCATCTAAGGCTCATTGATAATAAGCATCCACGATGAAATATAAGAACCAATACAGAATATTTACGCACAACTCAATCGATAAATCAGAGTACAATAATTCATATATTTGAAAGTAAGTCAAACCATAACATAATCCAAACAGTATTATGGCTCTTGAGTCGCTCAAGTTGTTCAGTGAATGGTAACCCATGTCATACTAATCGAAAATGACTCAGATTGATATCATATTTCCACTTGTTTAAGTAACACATCATTTGGATACCTTAGATAAAGTCGTTTACAATGCCTTGATGGTAATATCTTGTGCGAGAATTCTTATACATTTTACTGATAAGTATAAACAAACAGAATAGCTAGTTCCATAAAGCCACTTTGTAAATTATGCGTAACATCTGCTACTTTCATCATTGACACTTAGAAATCAGACATAACTGGACAGATACTACGTCTAGTTCTGAGTATTTTTTTTTTACACTAACTTAACTCAAAGGTCGAAATTTACAAGAACAATTTTTCAGAATTCAACGTGAAATAATGTTGTTGGAACGGTTAACCAATTTGTTGACTAGATTATCAAAACTGCTACTATACTACAACACTCGATAGCTTAAATGATAGATAGATTTTATCAATAGGTATACAATACAACAGTAAATGAATATTAAGAAAGTCGATATATCTAAGTTTACTGAAACCAACGAAATGGTGCACACAACTTATATTAAAAACATTTAACAGTGAATAGATGAAATGTATCTTTAAAAACAAACCGGTTTTTCAAAATATATACATTGATAATAGCGTTGGGTTTTAAAGGGACATAATATTTATCTACTGACTAGAGCACTCAAACCTGGTTTACAATATAGGTGACTTTAAAGACACTCATCATTACAGGTAATATTAGCATGCCCCCTGCGCAAGGACGACACGCAAAGCCGTGGAGCGCTCCATAATGCCCTGGTACGGCCGAGAGTGAGGAGAATCGAAATTGAGAGGACGAAAAGCAAATGTCCGGCAGCAGCTTAAACAGGGTTGGTGGATATGGAGAGTCCACCTAAAGCAGTTGGAAAACCCCCATTCCAAACCAATAGTGCATATGGGCTTCACGATCCTAAAGGAAAAAATGGCGTATGAACCAATCGTTGGTCACCGGCTACCAAGGGAATGCATCTCCCTACGTAGTTCCACTGCTTTGTGGATGAGACCTTTAGGTCGAAGGCCCCAGGTGTGGCCCCCTAAGAGAACCACCTGCTTCGGTTCGGGCACCTCGGTAGGATCCCAGTCGTGACATAGATCGAATGATTTATTAGGTGCCTCCTTGTACCAACATTTATATGTTTAAATAAATATAAAAAAATACCGTACAGCTATGGATTATAGCCATTATGGCACAAATATAATCATTCTCTATCTTCCTACAGATTTCGAAAAGTAAATTCTTATTTAAAGAATTGAAAATATGTTCATCAAAATAAATTCAAAGGTTACGTAATTTGGAATTCGCCAAGAAGCTCAAGGTTATAATAGTCAGTTCAAACAATTCAAAATTAATTTCAATAGTTGAGATCATCAGTCAATTGAAGCTAGACCACCATGGAAAATCTGAAAGCATTGGACGGACGTTTCGTCCTATTGTGGGATTCTTCAGCAGTGCGTATCCAACACCTCATCGCCTCGTGGGATTCGAATCCACGACCTTTCAGTCTCGCATGCGAGTGCTTAACCTCTAGACCACTAGGTCGGTATCCAAAATTAAATACTTTTTTCAATAATTGAAGTAGATTCATCAGTAGTACTCTCATTTATGACACAATAGTTAATAAGAAAAACTTTCATCTATAACTAATCGATATTAATGATATACAGATACAATGAACATTTCCATTTGTTGCTAATTATTTACACTTGAAAAGAAATGAAAAAATGTTTTATTATTAGACCATCTGGTTGAACGGAAACACAAGTCAAACAAGAAGAACAATAACAACTAATAGCACTACTAATAAATAAATAAAAAAATCAAAAATAATGATACTATCTGTCTAAAGAGATAAGCATTTAACCTAATCCTCAATTTCAGCTGAGTCATTTAAGAGACAAAAACTACAATAGCCTATTTGTAGGACTGTAAATTTTGAGGTCAGACAAATATACAGTTATCCACAGAGGGAAATGAAAAGAAAAGGGAGGAAAATACAATGTACAATAACAATGATAGTTTACAAGAGAAAAAAAGCAATATCGATACGTACATACACGGAAAACACATGAATCATTAAACTGGTGAAAACAATTGAAGAATCTACAATTAAAATGTTGGATATATATATATATAATTCTTGTATACATGTGAGTATGAGGCTATGTGGACAGTTGGTGTACACAAGTATAAAGTCCTTACTATAAGACATATAAAAATGAAAACATGAAATGTGAAACTTTCGTTAACTACTTATTACATTTTCAGTAGTACATCTCTAGAGAAAATGAACTAAAAAAATCTTATCAGGATGAATAACATGAAAATATGAGTAGGAAATTGTATTATCCCAATTTAGAGAAAGTAGTTAATAACAACTGCAAGAATATCTACCATGATTATCAACTATGTGATGTTTGTTAAACATGTTTTATGTTAAAGTTATTTAGAAATTTGTATTCAACAGGTAAGAAATTATCATTAGACTAAAAAGGGTTTTATGAATGAGCAACATAAAATGTTTATTTATTTAAACACATAAACATTATAACAAGGAGGCATCAAATAGATATACTCCACATAAATCATTCGATTTGTGTGAGGGCTGGGATACTACCCGGGTGCCCAAACCGAAGCGGGTGGTTTTCTTAAGGGGCTACACCTCAAGTCTTTGACCCTAAGGTTCGATCCACAAGGTAGTGGAGCAACTTCAAGAGATGAATTACCATAGTGGTCGGTGACCAATGATAAGTTGTTACGTCATTTGTTCCTTCGTGATATTGGAGCAGAAGTGCACCATTTGTTTGGAATCATGGTTTTCCGACTCCCCTAGGTGGAACTCTCTGTGTCCACTAACCCGGTTAAAGTGTCGGACATTCGCTGTTCGTTCTCTCAAGTTCGTAAACAACACTTCCTTGGCGAGAAGGCAGTGAGTAGGACTTCCCTGTCAGAGGTTGTATGCATGTGTTCATGTGAAATCAATTGGAGAGGGAGAGCTGACTCTCTTCACTCTCGTTCGTACCAAGATATTTGGGGGCCGTATAACAGATAACCAGTGTTCTGTAATTTTAAATATTCTTCTATCTGATGTCAGAAGGTGATGTGATAGTTACTAAGGAAAAAATGATGTGATATCTATTTCGAGTACTCTGAAAGAACAGTCTTTTTAATCTCTGAATTATAACTATAAGAGTAGGTGAAAGGATACATAAAAAGTATATACATAAGCGATAAGAGAAATTATTTAACAATGGAGAATAACCAATCAGAATAATAATAACAATCAAGTAAACAATATAAAAGTGAATAAGTTAGGTTAAAACTAATTGCTTATTAATATTCACAGCCTTGGTAACAGTATCCATAACAAATAATTTTAGGCACCAAATACTTTTTTTGTTTTATTTATACTGGAGGGGGGGGCAGATAATTTACTGTTTTGAAAAATGAATATTTTTTTTGCTAGAAATATTTAAAGTTACTGATTAATATTATTTGAGAATAATAACAATCTCATAAGCTTTGAAATAAATAATCATGATCTATATGGATCTAAATAGAAAGGATCACTTTTTTTAATTAGAAAAGGGATGAACTAATAGAAATATTAAAAGGATATTGAGATATTAACACTTTTCTTCATTTAATAAACAAAGTGTATAAATCAATAGCATATAATTATTTATTTATTTACTTATTTTAACACGTAGATATTAGTACAAGGAGGCACCAAATACATATGCGCCACACACATCACATTTAATATATATGAAGGCTGTGATACTGCCCGGGTGCCCAGACCGAAGCAGGTGGTTTTCTTAGGGAGCCACATCCCGAACCTTTGACCTAAAGGTCTGAACCACAAAGCAGTGGAGCATCGTGAGGAGATGCAGTCCCATATTAGCCGGTGACCAAAAATTGGTTCATACGCCATTTGTTCCCGCAGGATACTGGAGCCCATGTGCACGATTGGTTTAGGGTCCGGTTAAAGCGTCGGATATTCGCTTTTCGTCCTCTCATTTTCGTAAGCAACACCCCGGTGAGAGAAGGCAGTGAATAGGACTTCCCTGGCAGAGGCTATATACGCGTGGCCGTGTGAGAGCATTTCGAGAGGGCGAGTGGACTCCCCACTCTCGGCCGTACCAGGGCACTTGGGGGCATATCATAATAATAATGCTATTATCAAACATTTTTTTACAAAGTTTTCACAGCTTAACATTAACAAATTATATATATAAGTACTGACAATGATAAGCTTACATAAAACCGTGAATGAAGTCGATTGCCAGGTTCAGCACAGTTATTAATTCCAACAGATCGAAATAGACCGTGCATATGTTTAACTGCAACCCCATGCGGATAAATCTGGTTTAACAGAAATAGAAAACAAAATATAAAGTGTTGGATACAAAAATGTCATTTCGGTCAAGGTGATTCACAAGTGATATGTATGTAAATAAGTGTGTGTATGTATGTGTGTATTGTTTAAGAATGAAACATTGTGTGACATTTATAGTGAGAAAGGATAGAATTTATTAATTTGTGAGATGACAGTGTGAATTGTAAATAAGATCATACTGAATGGCTAGGATAGATAGTCCAAGTAGGATTAAGCATTATATGGAACAATTCAACTACTCTCCTTTCTTTGTAATTGGAAAAGCCTTTTTGTAATATTTTGATATTTTTACATTCGATTTGGTGGTCGTTGAAAATAGCATGAACTGCTATTGCCGATTTAATTTGAAATTTATCCAATTTTACGGGATTTTTAGGAGGTTTATTTGTGTACCTAGTATGCTCTTTGGCTTTAGTCAAGATTTCTCGAGAAGACTCTCCAATATAATAGGCATCACAATCGATACAACCTAATTTGTAGACGCAGTTCTGTATGGACATGAAAGGGATTTTTTTTAGGCGAACTATAGTCCTTCGAAGTGTGTTCGTTGTTTTGTAATACTCTTTAATTCTGTGATGTTTTAAGATTGTTTGGAGTTCTTTCTACCAAATTACAAATCATGATTTCTAACCTGTTTATAGAAAGAGAACGTCATTATTTAAATTCATCGAAACACCGACAAATTAAAAAATTCGAAAACATCAAAGAAAGGAAGAAAGATAAGAAAACATCAGCAATAAGATATAATTCGAATGATGTAAGAAGAATTGTTCTTAATCTTGACTAGAGCCAAACAACATATTAGGTACACAAAGAAACCTCCTAACAATCCCGCAGAATTGAACCAACTTCAAATTAAATCGGCAATAGCAGTTCATGCTATTTTCAACGACCACCAAATCGAATGTAAAAATATCAAAATATTACAAAAAGGCTTTTCCAATTACAAAGAAAGGAGAGTAGTTGAATTGTTCCATATAATGCTTAATCCTACTTGGACTATCTATCCTAGCCATTCAGTATGATCTTATTTACAATTCACACTGTCATCTCACAAATTAATAAATTCTATCCTTTCTCACTATAAATGTCACACAATGTTTCATTCTTAAACAATGCACACATACATACACACACAAATTTACATACATATCACTTGTGAATCACCTTGACCGAAATGACATGACATCAACTTGTTCAGACCTGTTTTTTTTGATTGATCAAATATTATTCTTGCATTGTTCCGTTGTACTATTTAAACTTGGATTAATTTTAATTTGGTTATTTATTCTCTGAAGAAGTGACTTACACTAAGTTACGAAACGTCAGAAAATCCAATTTTCTACTCATTGGGATATTACAAATATATTATTTATTTATTTATAATAATCTACCCAATGCTCAATTTATTCGAAATTATCAAATTAAACGTTGGTAATGATACCTAATTTATCCTATTACATTTGGTCGATAGAACTTATGCATTCAAAGTGATTGATTACATAACACTTTTCAATATAATAGAATCATTTTGATTGAATCAATTACTATTTAAAATCAAATATGTTACACAAATAATCGTACACAACAAGGGAAAAACTCTAATCTAATAGAAAAATGTCAGTCAGCTACAACGTAGGACCAGGCATATATATGCATCGATCCAAGTTGTTACACCTCATTAGCACAACAAGATCAACATCGGATTCATAAAGTAGTTAATTCAATGGTGGTAATATATATACAAAAATGTAATACATACAAGCGACGAGTATTTCTAAACACAATGAGAAATTTATTTTTAATAATTCAGATCATGGATCAATTGAAGCTAGACTACCATAGAAAACCTGCAAGTACTGGGCAGTCGTTTATTCCTAGTACGGGACTCCTTAGTACTACGCATTCACCATCCCACTGCCTCGCGAGATTTCAACCCAGGACCTATCAGCCTCGCGCGCGAGCGCTTAACCACTAGACCACTGAACCGGCTGACATGCAATGGTGTTAATGTGTAACTCCAACTAATCCACGCATCCACCATTGTTATCAGTGAGTTACTACCTCACAAAACACCCAGTTGAACTCCATTGATCACTGCTTCACACGAGAACTTCAGGAAATACCTCTTGAAGCTAGTCACTAGTGAGTATATGTTTATTTTTGTTAAGATTACAATCTACATATTATATAATCATTGAACCATGAATTAATTCATTTAAACAAAATATTATTAATTTTGATTGACATAAGAAGGCATGGTGAAACGGAATTCATCATTATTAATTTACTGATTATTTCTATTGAGTATAAGTAGTAAATTTGATTGTCAATCAATAGAATTATGAGTAGTATAATATTAAATGATAAAAATCTAATATTGAAGAGATTAGTCGTAAAACATTTTTTGTCTATAAGACTAAAGTAAACTTTATGTATATATATATATAATTATTGGTATAGAACTATAATTAAGGGAAAAGATAGTTCTCATCATAGATTGACTATAATTGGAAGATTATTAGCAATGAAATGGGATGATTACTATCTTTTGATAAGAACTTAATTAGTCATATTGTTAAACTTCACTTCATTGACAATGTAGTCATACGCATGAATGAACCTTATTAAAAATTATGAATAATTTTCTTCTACTAATTCATATATTTCACACTGAGACTTATAAAAGAAGAGAAGAAAGAAACGACATAGCAACGAATCAATTATGTTATATTGTTGGAAAGTCTGAAGATTTTTTTGCATTATCATTTCATACTTTGTGAATTACTACTATTCATAACTGTCAGGAAGGAGTATACACCTTATATATATTAAAGTAATCTGATTATGAAAGCAGGAAATTTTAATATGGTACAGTCCTTCTAGAATAAATTGTTACATATATACAAACAGTAATTAGCCTGAAATGACAAATAATGGTTTTGTATGCACCAATATTAATTTCTATGATACATTAGAAAGATTCCTATATACAGATATTTGTCTCTGTATCTTCACAAGAAGCTATGGAATAATGTAGGTAGGAAACAGATGTTAATTAGTATAAATATCCAAATACAGGCTCCTAAGTTAGAATAATTTTTTTATGTATTAAGTTGTATGTTAGATGTGAGATATGTGATGTTCTAAGTGCCCCCAAATGCCCTGGTACGACCGAGGGTGGGGAGAGTTCACTCTCCCTCTCGAAATGCTCTCACACGGCCACGCGTATATAGCCTCTGCCAGGGAATTCCTACTCACTGCCTTCTCGTGGCGGGGGTGTTGTTTACGAAGATGAGAGGACGAAAAGCGAATATCCGGCGCTTTAACCGGACCCTAAACCAATCGTGCACATGGGCTCCAGTATCCTGCGGGAACGAATGGCGTATGAACCAATTGTTGGTCACCGGCTACCATGGAACTGCAACTCCCTACGATGTTCCACTGCCTTGTGGGTCAGACCTTTAGGTCAAAGGTTCGGGATGTGGCTCGCTAAGAAAACCACCTGCTTCGGTCTGGGCACCCGGGCAGTATCACAGCCTTCACATATACCAAATGTGATGTGTGCGGCGCATATGTATTTGCTGCCTCCTTGTACTAATATCTACGTGTTAAAGTAAATAAATAAATGTTTTTAGTATTAAAGTGGATTTAGTCGATTGACAGACCGGAGGCAGTGAAAACAGAACTACAGAGGTCAGAACACCTGCAGGCTCGAAAATTCGAAAGGGGAACAAGTGTGATAAACGCTACTAACAGGACTGTTTGTGTGTAGTATGTAACGGAATGTGGAGTCGATTGTACAATTGTCAGACAAAGGGAAGAACTTCAGTAAATCGAAAGCAGGACGTTGGTAGAACACTTATAGATCAGACGAGAAGACAGTTCAGATGGAAAAGGACACCGAAAGATGCGAATACACGATTGAAGGCTATGTGTATGTGTTATGTAAATACTTCGTAACTTCTTACAGCAAATAAAAATCTATTAAATATTGTAATTGAGGCATTAAAAAGACAAGCTGAGAGAAAAATTTTTCATTCTAATCAGTTCTTCATCAAGGTTCTACACTAACATATATGCATTATAAGTGAGTAGAAAGTCGATACAAATTAGACTTTGATGAGTCAGTTTAACAAAATTATAATCAGTATAGTGTTGTGGAAAATATTAGGTTTTGTGATTGAGATCATGAACTGATTGATGTTAGACCACCACTGAAAACCTGGAAACACTGGACGGCATTGCTAAGGAGTCCCACAATAGGATGAAATGGCCGTCCAGTGTTTGAAGGTTTTCCATGATGGTCTATCTTTAATTGACTTATGATCTCAACTATTGAAATTACTATAATATCCACAAAAAAACCCTTTTGATATTACTTAAAACATAGAGTGCTAATATCTTGATGATATGAAAGTATTTGGTGTGCATTTAAAAATAAAATTCCTTAAGTTTTCTTTTTGTTAAATTATCACTTTTAATGAGATTTTCCACCTTTTGACCCCTCTCATTATTAACATTCTATTACTCTGTCAGGTCGATAATCACATCCACAGAGAGAGAGAGAGAGAGAAAGTGGTGGTAAGGAAAGAATAAATGTTTAAAAGAGGAATAATAAGTCAATCAGTAAATATTAAAAAACCCCAAGGGTTTTATACAGTAGAAATACAATGAGTAACAACGCACATATAAACTAAAAACTGAATATGGGTGAGAAAAATTGTGAATAAAAAGAAATCTATTCATAATAACTGGACTTTGAATAAAACAACATAAACTATTAATTTTATAGAAGATAAAATAGAAACATTGAATATGACTAAGATTATTTATTGCTATATGGATTGTACATGCACACACACACACACAATAGGACAATAATCGTCACCAACACCACCACCACCACCACCAGCACTAACAACAACAACAACAAAATAGGATAATAAAACGTTTGAGATTCTAT